CCTTACTAATGTGTACTAACTGAAAAATTTAATGTGCCAAAAGCAATTCTTTTATTTTAATTTTTATTTGTGGATTATATTGAGTAATAAAATTAAATAACCTTATTTATAAATAAGGTTTCTTGTATTGCAATTGTAATATTTACCTATCTAACTGTAAAAAACGTGAATCAAATATGCATAAGTAAACTTCTACAAGGGAGGTAAACACTTTTTGATCTTACATTAGTGAGAAACTATAAAGTGAGACATCTCTTTAAGTATAATTTTCCTTAAAATCCCAGATAGCTAGATTCAACTGTGATTTTTCATTGGCTGAATATAACAATTGTTTAAAATCAAAATAACATTTTAAAAAATTGTATTTTCTATGGGCTGAATTATAATTAAACTACCCATAGAAATTGCAATTGTAATTTTGATGAATAAAAGAAATGATCAAGGCTGGATATTGAAAAAAATTAATGAAGTCTTTCAGATATGAAGATGTCCTTTCAAATCACAATTGTTTTAATTATTGCATTAGCACATGATGGTTTTGTTACAAAAGTGTTGCTTTAGAGTTCTCTATTTGTCAGCAATTCAATAAATGGACTATTTTAATGACAGTTTGTTCAGCTTGAATAATTTCAACTCAAATCATATGTGTTAGTCTTCATAATTTATTTAGAAATCAATCAGAATGTATGTTTAAATCTTAATGTGAAATAATGACTTATCGTGGGTGGTGAATAAGAGACATTGTAACATTCATTACAAAGCTTTCATCATATCAGTGTTGGTATGCTCTATCCCTGTATTGAAACAACTAAAAGAATTTGAAAAACATGCTTTGTCTGTCAAAAGACAGAAAAACAAATATATCATTGCCTTGAAATTTCATGAATATTGTAAATATATAAATGTACTATATTGTATTATTGTGCTGTTGAATATATAATATTGCATTAATAAATGTTTTATTTACATTGATCTATTGAATATAATAACCAACAAGTTTTTATTGTAATAGTCTCAGTATTCTGAGAGCCCCAAAATAGGGCTGTTGTTTTTTTTTTAGGAAGGGAGAAATACGAACGTTAGCACCAATAAAAACTACTGCTATGTATAGTAACTACTGTTACTACTGCTACCTTCATATAAAAGAAGCTTCCTCCAACACTCCACCAAGCAACCCACTCGCCAATAAATCATTCAGCTCTCACCAACCTACAGAACGAACATTCCAACCTGATTCCAACTAGCCACTGGCAAATTCGTCTGTAAACCGTCTAGCCTATATGCTCCTCCTCCTCCCATTACCGCCAACAGATTCACTCCCCTGGATACCTATAAACCTCCTGACCAATTGACTTCATCCACTGACAACTCCGTCAGGATACTACTACAAGAGACACACCTCAAACCTCATCTCTCTTACCTCCCCAACTACGTATCATATCGCACAGACAGACCGACTCGGAGGAGCCATATGTGTCAGAAAGGACATTCCCCACACCCAACTCCCACCCATTGCCACAACCCACATAGAAAATACCAGACTCGAAATAGCCTGTTGGTCCAATCAGTATTACCTCGATATACAAGCCACCGCAAAGCTCTCTATTAGACCAAGACCTCGACATACCACGGACACCTGTCTATTAGCAGACGACCTAAATACCCAATCGACCGCCTGGGGCTGCAAACACACCAATGCCAATGGACACAAACTCGACGACTACTTAAACAACCGACCAACTCTCATTCTAACAGTACCGATAGAACAAACGCACCTCGTACGAGACCTACCCCACGACATTTTAGACTTCTCTATCCATTCATCAAGCCTAGCTCACCACACCCAATTT